AATGAAAAAAAAGAATATAATTATTCCAATGAATTGGATAGTTGTAATTTCTTTTTTTCTGATATTGAATATGATATTAATGAACAATTAATTAAATATATTTTGAAAAATAAAAAAGAAAAATATATTTATGAATTTCGTAAATATTTAGCTGAAAATAATGTTTTTTCCGAATTAGTTAATATTTTTTCTTATTTAATAGTAAATAAAAAAGAAGTTCATAACCCATATGATTATATCTGTAGTTACTTTAATTTAACCACATCAAATTGTAGTAATAACAACAGAACAGATTTAATAAAACAAAATAAAATGTATAAAAAATTAAATGAACAATTAAATTACAAAATTAGTAAATTAGAAGTTAAAATAATGAATATTAAAAAGGAAAATTGTTGTAAATGTATTGTGCTTTTTTTTTTTCAAAATAAAAATGCGCAATATAATATACACGACATTTGTAATAAAATTGATGAAAACAAACTAAATAATAAAACATATAATATACCAACTTTTTTTTTATTTACAAAAGATATCTTCTTTACTTTTTTAAAATATTTAAGTGATAAAACAAGAAACGAGTTATATGATATGGTAATAGGAAAACAAAATAATCAGAACTATCCGCATTTTTTCGATGAATTTTTAAAAGAGTTAGTAAACTTTGTAAATTATTACACATTATTTTGATAAGTTCATTGTTAATGTTGTAAGGGAATTTAAAAAAAATAAAAAAATATAAAAAAAAATACAAACATGTTATATATAAATATATACAATGTTGTGTGTACATTATAAGTAACTAATTATTATAACGAGGCGCGTAATTTTTGAGTAAATATATTATATTGAATATAAGCCAGAATTATGAAAAATAAAAAAAAAAAAATGACAAAAATAAATGTAAAAATGTAAAAATACCTGCGTACAAATCTAAAAAAACTAATATCAATGTCATGCATAAAATGAAAATAATAATTAACAGTGTCCTATACAAATGAGCTAATATTTTTTTTTTTTTTTTTTTTTTTTTTTTTTTTTTTCAAACAGTTTTAATTTTAACTTTTGTATACACACAAATTGTTACATTATGTTTATCCATTTATTCGTACTAACTTTAAACTGTTTAGAAATTTATTCTGGTTTTTGTTACCAATTTATGTGTGCGTATGTTATCTTGATTTAACAGATTGTGCACAAAGTATAATCGTTGTCAACAATGTGATATAAAACTTATTTTTTGCAAAAAAATGAAAAAACTTATCAAAAAAAGAGTTAGGTAAATGTTGCATTTTTGTTATGTTAACTGGTGAAAATGGACCTAATATGTGATTTCCAAAAACTCTATGTGTACTTTGAGGTAATGAATAATTTGCTCTATCAATAATAATACATTCATGATATATATTTAAAAATTTATATCTTACATATAAATACATTTCTGTTTCTGTTAATAAATTTATATAAGAGTTAGCTGTTTTTTGTTTTTCATAATTGTTGGAAATTTTAATTAATGGTTTGGGAACATCACAAAAATAAGCAAAAGAAAAATCATCATTAAATAATAATGAACTATTTTCAATTTTCGATTGTAAAATTGTAGTTAAATCTATGTAAGGTCCTTCTAAATGTTTTTCATTTATTGATTCAATGTCTAAACATGTATTTATATATTGTTTTTTTATTGTCACATTACCATATAATGCTTTTTCTATAATTAAACCATTTTTTTCACTTTCTTCTTCTAATTTTTTATTATATAAATAATTTAATTCTTCTATTCTATTTTTATAAATAATATCTGCCTCTTCTTCTAATGCTTTTCTTTGTTCTTCTATTAATCTCCCATTAACAATATGATTATTTATAACATCATAATAAAATTTTTCAAATTTATCTGTTAATACATTATATGCTTTTTGTATTAAATAATAATATTCTTTGTGTTCATTTGGTAGTTTTTTATTAACATTAAATAATTTAGACAATAATAAATAACTTTTTCGAATATGTTTAATATCTGTGTTTATATCCACATTTAAAACTTCATAATAACTGGGGTTAATTGAATTATCAGTTAAATACTGAATCTTAGCTATATAATTTGTTAAAAAATAATTTTTTGTTTCATTACTCATAGAGTTTATGCTAAAAATCGTATTACTGTCCAATTCTGGCATAAATTCGTTTATCTCTTTTTTTTCTTTTACTTTTTCTTTATCTCTCGCTTTATCTTTCTCTTTATGTATTTTTAAGAACTGATGCCTTTCCATTTTTGTTGTTAATATAAGTGAGTTATGAACAAAGAACAAGCACAAAAAAAAAAAAAAAAAGAACAAAAAAAAAATAAAAAGTATAGCGTTATGCAAATAAATGGGTTATACACAAAACTTATTTATGCATGGAAGTTAATTTCCATAAAAATGTATATAGCAAAAATGTATATAGCAAAAATGTATATAGCAAAAATGTATATAGCAAAAATGTATATAGCAAAAATGTATATAGCAAAAATGTATATAGCAAAAATGTATATAGCAAAAATGTATATAGCAAAAATGTATATAGCAAAAATGTATATAGCAAAAATGTATATAGCAAAAATGTATATAGCAAAAATGTATATAGCAAAAATGTATATAGCAAAAATGTATATAGCAAAAATGTATATAGCAAAAATGTATATAGCAAAAATGTATATAGCAAAAATGTATATAGCAAAAATGTATATAGCAAAAATGTACCAAAAAAAAGTACCAAAAAAATTTACCAAAAAAATGAACAAAAAAAATGTACCAAAAAATGTACCAAAAAAAATGTACCAAAAAAATGTAACAAAAAAATGTAACAAAAAATATACCAAAAAATATACCAAAAAAAAATGTTCCAAAAAATGTACCAAAAAAAAAAAAAAATATATATATATATATATATATAAAATTCAAATAAAATGAATGAAGAATAATATATGTTGACTTTCTACAAAATTATGCGGTGAGCCAACATATTGTTAAATCAAATGCTTTACACTTAAATAAAAAATAAAATTTATAAATGGATACATATATATATGTATATATATACAAATGTATTTGTTCGTTCATATTACAATATACTCAACAAGTTTAAAATAATGTTTTCGTTTTTTTTGTACTAAAAAAGAACATAACTTGAACTCGTTTTTTTTTTAATTGTTACCAATGTATATAATACATATTTATTGTATACACATATAAACATAATTATTTTTTATTTATAATTTTTTTTTTTTTTTTTTTAATTATATTTTTTTTTTTTTTTTTTTTTTTTTTTTTTTTTTTTTTTTTTTTTTTTTTTTTTTTTTAAATAAATGAAAAAAAATAAAATGCTATTTAACATTTAAATATATAGTTTAACCTGAAACTCGAGCCTTAAACACGTTTACTCATTATAATAGTTTTCACTGACGCAAACAGGCCTTACACATATATATTATATGTTACGTCACGTTGCATAAAAAAAATAAGATCTATCTCATTTCGTTTGATATTAAATTATATTCTCAAAAGTTAAAAGTAATGAATAAAAATATAAAATTATTTAATGATTTATTTAAATATTAAAAAAAAAAAAAAAAAAATAGTAAAAATATGAAATTATTTACTTTTCTAAATACATAAAATACTATGGAAGTAACTGTGTATACAGTGAATATGAATTTGTTGAAAAAAAAAATAAAATGATAAAAAAAAATCAGTGATAAATATAGAAAAAAAAAATTATTTACAATGTAAAAAATAGAAAATATAAATAAATAAATAAGAAAAATATATATATGTATGTATATATATGTATATATATATATGTATGTATATAAGTGTATGTATATATATGGATGTATATATATGTATATATATATATGTATGTATATAAGTGTATGTATATAAGTGTATGTATATAAGTGTATATATATATATATATATATATATATATATATATATATGTATAAGTACATACATATAAAAAAACTATATTAACTAACTCGGGCTAGTGGTGTAGTGGTATCACGTTCGCTTCGCATGCGAAAGCTCCCGGGTTCGATTCCCGGCTGGTCCAGACAAATCAATTTTAGGAAGATTTATTTATATAACACGTGTTTTAGATTTTCTTTATTTTGATTATATTTATTAATAGCTAAAGCAATACAATTATTGGTATGCGTTTGTATACAAAGCTAAAAAATTGTGAGGTGACTTACTGACTTTATATATACACATATATATATATATATACATATAAATACATATATATGTATATTAAAATGCAAGTAAAAAAAAAAAAATGACCATATATAATATATATAGTACCAAATGTTTAAGCAATTAAAGCTTTTATTTTTTTATTTTTAATTAATATCTAGTAACAATTATACCGAAAGTCACAATTGGCATATGTGCCAAAAATCAAGCAAAATTATATTTATCTACGCTTCTGTAATTTATTACAATATTTCTTTAGCCACAGTAAAAAAAAAATATATATACTTAAAAATTTGTACTTAAAAATTTATACTTAAAAATTAAAAATAAAATTTACCTAAAATAAACTTCTTTATTATATATATATGTATGTAATCATTAGATACGATTTTTAAAATTACAGTAGTAATAAAAAAAAAAAAAAAAAAAAAAAAAAAAAAAAACTTGCCTTATTTTATTAAATATGTTTCAATAGGTACTTTACTTTTTTTTTTTTTTTTTTCATTACTATCCCTACTTGTATAAAAATATATATAATTCGTTATAAGCTAGCTAGCTAATTATATCATTTATTATATGATGACATTGTTGTACACATACGTACATATAGATATACATACGTTGTATTTCTTATATAAACACACTATTTTGGTATATAAAAATTAAAATATATAGATACATATATATATGTAAATATATATATATATATATATATATATATATATAATAAAAATATTTAGTAAAATTATATTTGTAAATATATTGACAGAAGCGGGATTCGAACCCACGCCTTATACAGACTACCATCTGACGGTAGCGCCTTAGACCACTCGGCCATTCTGTCAAAGTTTTAATATTGATATTATTAGTAGTATTTTAATTATTTTCCGTTATAATGACATTACTTTATTTTAAACATGCCAAATGCTTTTATCAATTGTAATATATATATGTATTTTTTATTAATTCGTTTGTTTTTTTTTAGTTATTTGTTTACTTATTTATGTATTTATTCATTTGTATTTTACAAAGAAGTTACCATGTGTAATGAGTACAAAAATAAAATTTTATTCATATAGGGACATATTTAAGAAGCAAAAAATAAATAAAATAAAATAAAATAATAATAATAATAACAATTTACTAAGTAATAAATTAGCTTAAAAGAGGTATAGTATCATGTTAGTTAATGGGATAGCATATACATGTATATATATGCACACATACGTATGATAAATACATTTTAAATTTTATCAGTTTCAAAAATAAAAAATATATTGTCCCTCGATATGGTACGAATTCAATGTACATCGTTTACGATGCAGCTCATAAGTCAAAATACATTTTTTCTTAAATATGAAAAAAAAAAAAAAAAAAAAAAATGTTGCTGTATGATTTAAAAAAAAAAAAAAAATATTAACATAATAGTTACATAATTTACGTACATTTATATTACAAATTTGTTTTGACTGTAATGAAATTATATATATGTACATTTATATATGCATTTTTTTTTTTTTTTTTTTTTTGAAGTTGTAAAAAGTTAACAGAAACAAAACTTTATTGTCTTAATCAAGTAAACTGTTGCAATAAGAAATGTTTTAATGTAAAAAAAAAAGAAAAAAAAAAAAAAGAGTTCATTATAAATTAAACTTTTTTTTTTTTAACAAATCAGTTTTTAATTTTGAAAGAAGGGGGGAAAAAAAAAGAAGAAATGGTAGGAATTTATAATAGTATGTATAAAAATGTACCGATGTTATAATTTTTGAATAATCCGTTATTTTTTTTTTGCATTTTTGCATGTTTCTTTTTGAATTTTTTTCTTTTTTTTTACAAAAGTATGTTATGCAAGAATAGCATAAATGCAAAAAAAATGGAAAGTTAAAAAATTGGATATATCAGCAATTACTAACATCGCACAAAGGTATCTATCGAGTTATACATATATACTTGTATATATATGCATATATATACATGTATATAGAATAGTAGGTACAATAGT